GTAATGTACTCAAAACTTTATTTGATACACACACAATGAACTTTAATGTAATGTAATAAAGAAAAACCCTTTCACTTCCCCATACTGATGTTCGGTTTGAACTGCAGGAGATTGTCTTGACCATGTCTACATGCCTAAATGCACTGAGTTGCCGCCATGTGATTGGCTGATTAGAAATTAAGTGTTAACGAGCAGTTGGATAGGTGTACCTAATAAAGTGGCCGGTGAGTGTATGTATTTAATTTATTTGTATTAAATATTCATTTTAAAGAGCTCATGGGCCAGACTGAAGTCACTCAAAGGCCGGATGTGGCCCATAGGCCACCAGTTGAATAGCCCTGCTCCAAGCTGTTTTTTCCATTCATAAAGTTTAAGTTTCTTTACAAAATACACAAATCAACACAATCTGTACAAAAAACAAAACAAAAATAAATGCATAAAAAAATAAACATTTCACCACTGATGAGAAGAAAACATTCAAAATGGTTACTTGTAATAAATGCTTTAGCTAATGTGGAAATTATGATTAATTCAAAACCATACATCCCCTGTACATAACTTCAATAAAAGTCCTCACTGTTTTGTTTTTTTTTTTATATAAAATGTCTCAAAATCGGCATTGCTAACATTTRTTTTCAAGTAAAGCTTTAAAGTTGAAGTCTGACGTCATACTGATTACAGACCGTTTTTAAAGATGTGCATCCTGAGTCTGGACTCGTCCACCCTGCCCTCGGAGTCCATGACCCCGGGTAAGGTGAGCCGTGAGGCGGACAGAGCAGGAGAGCTGACCGAGGCCACCCTCCTCCTCCGGCAGCGGACTTCCGGCTGCTGGCTGCCGGCGCTCCGCTCCTCTGCTGCCGGCTGGGGAAGCGGCTTCCCGGCGTGGTCGTCCCGTTCTTCCATGCGTGACAAAAAAAAAAAAAAAAAACCTCACAAATTCAACCGCATTTTAAACCCTACACAACAATTCTTCTTCCTGCAGCCTTTCAAGTCCAGGTCAGGAAAAACAAACAAACAAACAACAACAACAAAACAGCCAAGAAAAAAAAAAAAAMAAAAAGGTCTCAAAAACTCCTTTCGGCTCATTATAGAGCACGGCCCACATTCCAGGTGGAGTTCTCAGGACAGGAATCAAAGTCCACCGTAAATCACTTTGAATATATTCTGCTGCCATCTAGTGGCAATTTTGAGGAACATCAACGAACTTTTTTGTATTCAGAACATAAAACAGGAAAAAAAATATCCAGAATCCCCAAATCCTGACAGCTTTTGTAATGTTGCGAAGCTGTAAAGCACATTTATGAAAAGGAAATTATTTTTCTTTCGGCTGCTCTCACTTCTGTGTACCTGTTGTTCCTCCTCCGGACGTGTCCAAACCATCTACATTACCTTTGTTCAGGCTGTGCTGTGTTTCAACATTTATTTCATTTAATTAAAAAACAACAAATTTCAACACAACACAACCACAATATGGAACTCCATAGTACCTCTGATCTCACATCTTTTTTTCTTTCTTTTTTTGATGATCTCATTCCTGATCTGATTCATCCTCGTCACTGCCAAGGAGACAAAAGAGGACAGTGAGAAATGAAGGAGGATGACCTGCTGGGCAACCCCTGAGGAGAGAACAGGTTGTGTGTATGCTTGTATATCATGAATAAACTATTCCCCACAACCTTATGAATATGTGAATATGCTATTTCTTTGCATTTTGATTTAACATTTATCATAAATTGTGTATTTAACTTTTTTATTATTGACCTTGAACWACAAGCAAACGCTACCAAATTGAATTCCCCTTGAAGTATTTTCTATCCATGTACCCATCTCTATCTATGGTAAATGGTAAAATGCCTTGCCCAAGGACACATTGATTGAGACGGCTGGAACGGGGATCAAACCAGAWTTCATTGAGTCTGTGCGCTGAACAGTGAGCCACCTATATCTACCGGTATTTGCTTATGGCATATAAACATTAACAGTGTATTGTGTTTAACCAACATATCATTATTGTAACAATCATTGTCATTATTTTGAACATTGTWCTCTCACTGTGATCAGTTTAAAAAAAGCTGTGTGTGACTTAGTCATAGGTCATTGTGGATAGTCAAAAATTTTCTTGTTGATGAACTTCCTTCCTTTTTTTTATCACCACAGCAGTGTAACAAGAAGCACACCCGTTTTCACATCTGTGCTCATATCTGACGGTCTTTGGTCAAAAATACCCAAAGCATTCTGATCTCATTTGGGTCCTGCTCACAGTGAGTATTATTTTATCCTGTAAATGAAAGAATACGGGTAGTGTTGCGTGTCACAGTTGGCGGTAAAGTTGGGAAATTGTAAAGTTTTAGACCGTTAACTCTGTGATGTTTTGTCAAACCAGATGCAGATGCTAAAGCTGACTGAGCTCACTCTCTTACTGAATTTGGTATCATGTGCAAAAGGTGGGTGACAATGAGCGAATGAATCGGTTTTACTTATACGACTGAAGTATAAACTTTAGTAACGGCATGTTTTTTGGTTGGTTTGCTGACGCAGATGGACCCTGGAAAATATCAGTCAGTCATACTTTTCAAACAACAAGGGGCACAAAGCTAACGATACCGTGCACATTTACCCACCCCCCAAACCACACTGTTAAAGAAGTTTACTGGAAGACGAGCGGGACAAGTGAGTGTGATAGGGATGACATCGACAAGCAAGCGTTTGTTTTTCACCACCGTGAGTCGTGTGTGCTTCCAAACTACCAAAACAAGACCCGTCTGATTGGTGAWATAACCAAAGGAAACTGCAGTCTGGAAATCTCCAACGTTCAGGAAAAGGGAACAATCTACCTACGTGTTTTTACGAATAAGGACAAGTACACCTTCAAAAAAAACCTTGTCAGCATTGACTTTTCAGGTTCATTTTAAACTATGTATTTGTGACTCAATGCAGTAATAATGGCTTATGAATACATTGAATACTATTTTTTTTTCAACAGGGATCAAAGAAAAAGCTCTTATTCCAGGTAATTTTTAAAGCTATTTTAATTCTACAAAATGTAGCTTATACTCTACTTTTATTTTAGTTCTTGAGTTGCCATCATATCTATTCTCCCAACTCTTTTTGTTACACTGTAAGGGGAACTCTCACTAGTTGTAACATTAGACATTTGATAAACATTTACTTCAGCAATAAAAATGAGACTAAAATACTGTAGGCTACGTTTTTTTTATAAATTAAAAAAAAAACATATTGTCACACAGACGCTGCCATTAGAGCTCTGTCTATTGAAGGTTAATTGAACAGAGGCTGACGTTCAGCACTGTTACATTAATGAAACGTAAATGCATTGACAGAGACGAGAATGTAGAAATGACTCAGCCTGCAACTGAGAATGTGGATGGAGGAGAACAGAGCTGCTTCATGGAAGGAGAACCTCAGCTTTAGCCATTTAACTTTTGCTTTAGCTCCCGAGCTAATTTATTTATGGCAATATGTGACATTAGCTCAGCTAACTTCACATACTTATTAGTAATATATAGGCTGTGTCTTAGTTCGGGGGCTGCAGCCTAACTAGATCATGGCCCACAGAGGCCGCAGCCTTTGCAGTCTGCAATAAAAAAAAAACATTAGGTAATTAGGGTTTAGCTCATCATTCATCGGCCACATGAGAAGGTGCCCACAAATTGGGACAGCCTTGTGGGGCAGTAATGTAAAAGGCAGACAAATATGGACCTTGGAGGACACAACCCCTCAATTAAGACTCAGCCTATAATTTACTAAACATCATGTTAGATGATTTCAACCTATATATTGTGCAGAACATAAAAACTAATACAAAATATAAATATATTGTCACACATCATAGCTTTTTAGCCATGACTCTTTGTGTTTTAGTCTCAACTGTAATTTATCTTCATCATCCCCAGATCGCATTGCATCAGTAACAAAATGGCAACATGCTTAATTTAAAAATGTAATAAACATACATTTTTTTAGATAATTAGATTTTTTCACGTGTTTCAAACAACAAAGTTCTGTAGAATAAAGAAATAACATAATAAGGCCAACGTGCAAGTCAGAGTTCCCTTAAAGCATCACTGGTTTAAATACGAAACCATTAAAACCATTGTTACACTTTCTCAAGGTACAGATTCTTCAGAGGTAATGACCTCCACAGTAATGCCAAGTAAGTAAATTTACTTCATGGGTTATTAAGATCATCTAARCTGATATTCAGTTCAATGAAATGTGGTTTAGCTTCTCTAACTGTTATAATTATCATCCACAGCCGACTTCACACCCAGTTCATTGCAAAACGACACTATCTACCTGTCCGTCTGTACACCAGTTGTTGCCCTTGTGATCATCGTCATTATTGGGATTATTGTTTTCATAAAATACAAAAGGTAAACGTTATTTTTTGTGTACGGTGTGATATTTTTAATGAATTTTTCGTGACTGATCATGGGAATGCTGAGATCCCTGGTACCCTTTCAGGTTGCTGCAGTTATATAACATTTAGACCAAGAAGCGTGGTGTTTTTACAGCATGACACATTTCCCCCACCTAACCATTGTGAGCAGAAATTTTATTTTCTGACCCTTATCTGCTAATTTGCTGCTTGAATCTACTTAAGCACGTTCATACACAGGCAACAGACAGACTCACTTAAAAAAAATAACGACTTGGTAAATCGAGTGTTTGCATGTGACACAATAATTAAAGATGCATGCTTTCCAAATGAAAAAGAGAAATTAGGCCATTAATTCCCACATAGCACAATCTGGCCCAATTCTGGCCCACACAAGGTACTAACACTTGGCCCAGATACTGCAAAGAAAACATTTTGTATTTAATTTCATCCTCACTATCTCTGCAACAATAAAACCTGCTTGGATACTAACACTTCTGATAAAATCTCCCAAGTATTCTGATACCAAGATTACTGAAGTAGATTTTGTGAATGCTGAGACACACTTGATTACATTTTGTCATTTTATGTCAAGCACAAACTTCAAGGAAACCCCCCAGGGATGAAACAGTGCTATCATTGCCAGATCTGTCCCACATCTTGTTGACAAACCACTTGCCATGCCAGCGGTCAGCCAACAGTGCCTGCTTGACCCCAGATCTGGCCCACACCTGTCGGCTCTGTGGGCTGGGACATGAAGCAACTCTAGATTTGCAGTTTCCTAAAAATGCAACACAGAAACCTTTTATTGTGCACAGCAAAACACCAGAAGGGTGATCATGGTTTCATCTATGTGTCTGTTACCCAAAATATGTCTTGAACCACTGATTTTACCAAAATATCTCAGAAAGTCATCACTGGATGTATCTCCGTCCGAACTCCAAAAGCCCAAAACGGCTCTGACTTTATTTTTGAGAACTTGGTGCTGTAACAGTTGAGAGTCATTCACAACACAAAATCCACTCATCACGAAATTTTTGCTTAAAACTTTAGCATTAATTGCTCAGAGTCAACCCTGTTTTTCTGTTGACAAAATATTTCATAAGTCACTGCGTTGATTTTAATGAAACATTCAGGAAGTAGTTATCGTATTAAGCTTTGGAGCCAAACCAATTCATATGGCCGCCACATATAATCAGCCTTAGCCAACACAATAAAAGCAGCTCAATCAACTTTTAACAAATATTGAACAAAAAATAAAATAAAATAAAAAGTGAACGTGTTGTCTTATACCATTGCATGAAAATAATGCACAACGTTATTTTCAAGGTTTGACCATAGCAGCTACACATCATTTCTCAACATAAAATAATAGCCATAATTTACCATTGGTTTAAAACCGTGGCATGAAAGCAGGCAGGGGATTTACATTCCATCAGAGTTTTATAATAGTTTATTTAATTATTATTTTGTGTGAGCTAAACTAAAACTAGAGATACATAATGACACAATTGTCCTCTTCTCATCCACATAAGTTATTCATGTCATCACTGGACAAAGATAATTTTTATCTTGATAAGCAGCTGCTTCTATGTGAAAAATTATTTATGTTAAATACATCTGATTGTAATAACATGTTTGATCTTATAAAATAGATATATTTTATCTTCCTAGGTCACGCGAGATAACTCGAAAGGAATCAGGGTATTATGTAAACTTCAGCAGAGCCACTTCCAACGCACCCAAAAGGTTTGATTTGATCATTTAATGGATGTTTTTTTTTATCGAACCATTGCGTCTTTTATCTGATCAATTTTTATAAAGAAGATGTTTTAAAATATCTTTTATCCAATCACGTTGTGAACTAAAATAATGACAATTCATTCAGTTCTCAAACTGGTATACGTCTTTTTTTGATTTGTTTTTCAGAGAAGCATCTAGCAAAAAATTAGACGTGGAGCCACCAGAAGAAAAAGCCACCGATGAACCCATCTACATCAACTTTGAGGTACATTTTATTTCTTGAAGTGAAAATACACTCACAATCAAAAGAACGGAAATCTAAGCACCCAGACAGAGGGATGGAAATGAAATGAACTTGTGTGCTGACAGGTTGAGATTTTTTTTTTGAAGATGTACCGAACAACACATTTAGCAGCAAGGGGTGCAGCAAGGGTCCTGTGTCAATAGAGTGTATCCCATTGGACCTCCGTACAAGCAGTGATTTCTACAGAACAAAGCTGCACAGCTGTGGTTTGCTCTTCTGCAACCAGTCAAACCACAGTACTCTAATCTATCAGACTGGCTCCAAGTAGGAATTAATATCCAAACTAATTGTACGCATCAATAATTGGCGAGTGAGATTCATCCTGAATGATACACCAAGGTGATGTCTTAAAAGAGATAACATGTGAATGTCATTGAGTTAACGTGAACCCTAAAGTCCTCCTCTGTGCTGATCCATTCAAAAACTCTGACTGACCTGTGGACTTTCCAACATCATACACATCAACTCCTTCCAACATTAACCTGAACTTCAGAAATCAGTAAATTTCATAAAAAATCCTTAGTACTTTCATATGATACTATAAATGTGGACAAACTTAACATTTCCTTACAGGCTCTGAGATGTAAAATACACTTAAATCTAAGTCTTTGAAAGAATCTGTGAGGTTTTCTTTATATGTCTGTCTAGATGCATAATGGGCATAATGGGGGTTGTTCATGGACAATAACTTGACATGTATGCAGCAACTGCCTGATAACCAAAGATATATAAAGAACTTTAAAGAAATAACTAAGTAAAAGTACTTTTACATGCACTGTAAGAAATGAAGTGTTAAATTACTTACCCAAACTGGTTCAGCTAAACCAAAATTAGTAAATTGGTTTATATTTACTCAACTTGGTTTAGTGGAACAGGTTGACATAACTTGGTTAACACTTCATTTATTAATAACTCATGATGAGTTTCGGTCATATTCAAATTTGTAACGTGCAGCTACCCTGCAAAAATAAGCCATTTAAAAATAAGTTTAAAAATGCTATAGTCAAAGTCTTCTCAAATTAAGTGAAATAATCTTGCAGTAATACAATTGCACTTAAGACTGAAATAAGAAATTTCCAGGGTAACAACATTATTAATAACACATTCGGCTTTTACTTAAATCATTCTCAAAACAAGATCAAAAATACTTTTTGGATGAATATAAGATTGTAAGACTTGATTAGCTGGAAAAATCTTTGCAGTGTCCGTCCGTCTGCTTTCTGCCACTTATCCGGGGTCGGGTCTTGGGGGCAGCATCCTAAGCAGAGAGACCTAGACTTCCCTCTCCCCAGCCACTTGGACCAGCTCATCCGGGGGAATCCCAAGGCGTTCCCAGGACAGCTGAGAGACATGGTCCCTCCAGCATGTCCTGGGTCTTCCTCTGAACCTCGTCCCAGTGGGAGATGCCTGGAACACCTCACCAGGGAGGCGTCCAGGAGGCATCCCAACCAGATGAACCACCTCAACTGGCTTCTTTCGACGTGGAGGAGCAGTCCCTCCTGGATGACCGAGCTTCTCACCCTATCTCTAAGGGAGAGCCAAGACACCCTGCAGAGGAAACACATTTCAGTCGCTTGTATCTGCGATCTCGTTCTTTTGGTCACTACCCAAAGATCGTGAACATAGATGAGGGTAGGAACGTAGACCGACCGGTAAACCAAGAGCTTTGCCTTCTGGCTCAGTTCTCGCTTCACCACAACAGACCAGTACAACGCCCGCATCACTGCAGACGCAGCACCAATCCACCTGTCGATCTCCCACTCCGTTCTTCCCTCATTTGTAAACAAGACCCCGAGATACTTAAACTCCTCCACTTGAGGCAGGACCTCCTCCCCGACCCGGAGGCGGCACGCTACCGGTTTCCGGCTCAAGACCATGGTCTTGGATTTGGAGGCACTGATACTCATCCCGGCTGCTTCACACTCAGCTGCGAACTGCTCTAGTGAGAGCTARAGATCAGGATCTGTTGAAGCCAATAGGACCACATCATCCACAAAAAGCAGAGATGCGATCCTAAGGCCACCAAAAAGGATCCCCTCAACACCTTGGCTACACCTAGAAATTCTGTGCATAAAAGTTATGTAGAGAATCGTGACAAAGAGCAACCTTGGCGGAGTCCAACTCTCTCCGGAAACGAGTTTGACTTACCACCGGCAATGCGGACCAAGCTCTGGCACCAGTCGTACAGGGACCTAACAGTCCCTATCAATGGGCCTGGTACCCCATAC